TGAAAGAAGTTGCAGGACTTATGGCAGGAGGTGGAAGATATCGTGAAAAATGTCTGGGAACTTTATGTTGTTTATACTGGAGATTTTAACTTGGACTAAGAAACGTGGACTTTTCCAAGTGTCGTGGAAATTAGGAATTTTAGTTCTTACGAAAGTACGAATTATGGAAATGCAATTGGATCGTAGAAATTTCACGGAGACGTAAGCTTCGCGATAATTGTCTCGAAATTATCTTCCAAGGTACGAAGAAGCATAAAAGGGGGTATTTAATAATTTTATTTAACATTCGATATGCAACAAATTTTCGCTTCTTTCAAACTTTTTGCACGAGTCGATGTGTGAATTTACTCCTATCAATTATTTCCAGACATCTGGTTCAATTATTCAAATCTCTCCCCCTCAAATGTAGAATTTAAAATTTAAAGGAGTGAAATATGATTTTGAAATTCTACTTCTCGTCGGAAAATAAAATTTCATCACAGAAGTAGTTCTTGAACTACAATATTTCTCGATTTACTGATTTCAAATGATTGCTGTTCTTCCACGACGAAATTTTTCAGATTTTCATTAATGATAACGCGTATCACATTAATCAAACCTTCCACTAATAAAGACTTCATTATAAAATAAAAATTTCCATCATAGAGCCCTGTTATAAATTCGTCTGTCTTCATATTTAACTTCTTCTAATACAATACCCGTTTACATTCATGAAAATTCCGAAACTTGTGTCTTATAATAATAACATTCTTCTGAAATGATCTTCTGTAAAGACAAGAATACCTCTGTGACTCGTGAATAATTCATCCACCGCTGTAATTAAATTAAGAATACTGCCAAAATTTGAAAATCCAATCAATAACTTGCCCCAGAGTATATTATCACAAAAGAAATAAATATTCTCGAATTCTAAGAACCCTGAATTTTCGTTCCAAAATGAGTCAAAGGAGATCTGCCTTCGTGCAAGGAAGCCTCTGATTCCTATGAATTTTCGTTTAAAAATGAAAAGGGGGTTTCCCTAACCAAAATGATCGGTACAGAGCCTGCGTCTAGTCTTCCAAGTAATAGATAATTAACAAAAATTATCTGCTTTTCGAATTACAATATTCAGATACTCGAAAAAAGATGAAATGGTAATACGAAGTCAATATCGAATCGTAGATGTTCGAATATCTTATTGGATTAGGCTAACCGGCTTCGCTGCACGCAAGCATGATGCTTCTAATTCAATTCCATGTCGAATAAACTGTCCATATGAAGACCGATTTGCAAAAGACTAAGGCGTACGCTTAAACGGGGTGCGCGATGAACGCGGAGTCAAGGGTTGAGGGATGATCGCTGTTAGAACGTGACAGCCTTGGAAATTGATCATTAGGTTTTAATTAACTGGCGTCTGACGTACAATGTCTCGATTTACTATGCGACACTGGGCATACATCCGGTCGTTTATAACGGCTGAGATATGTTCGTCCTGCTCGATGTCTCTAACAGGGGGTACAACACACAGAGATCTCCAGAGGTAATTCAACAGTTCCTTAACTATTCCACAAATATTTCTGAACCAAAAATATTAGAGGATGCATTTCTCGCGTCTAGGCTCAGGTTGACACGTAGTAAAGCCATAGAAACGTACGAGAATGGTTACATCATGGATGCTCGCATATTTATGAATTTTTTCTCAACATTGACACTCTGTTCGAATTTTTCGAGCGAAATTTCGTACGGCGATGGAATCGCCGGGACATTTAGAGGATTCTCGAGAATATTTGGAGGGAAAATGGCGGCGAAAGGCAACGCGCGCACGTATGCAACCCCGAACTATCAGCAATTTCCCTGAGAACCCTATTATGTCACACGCCCAAAGTGGCAGTGCGTCTTAACCTTTCATGGCAGAGATGCCAACAGCATCGACTTTAAACGTTCAACCTTCCTACGATATTCGGGAATATTCTAGTTCACTTTGCCGTCGAGAGTGCGTTCACGCATCGGCCATCTTTGAAGAAATTTCTTAATTCCTCTTCCGAAAATTTAGAACAACGTTGCACTTATTTTCTGTAATTTATACAGAAACTTTGGTAATTTCTATTTCGTGTAATATCTCTTTCCACTTATAAATATTTTTGAAAAATATGCAGGGTAGAAAATAGTAATTTTGATTTGTTCATTTGATCGATTATATTCTGTAATTCGTACTTTGGTAATTTTTACTTTGCGTTTGTATTTGTAAATATTGAAAAGGAAAATGTAAATGGTAAGAAATAGCAGCTATGATTTGTTCTGCAGGTATTTTTCAGCAATGTACCTTGAAGATTTATATTGCCTGACGTATTACAGTGTTTTCCATAATTGGTACCTTCGTAGTTTATATTTTACACGATGTAGGTTCCTATTCGAAAATATTAAAGAAAAAAATTAGGAGATTTTAATTTTTCCAAATTAAATGTGAATAACCATGGGGTTTCTGCATTTCTCTCGTTGGCTATTACCGATATTAAATAAAAAGTAGTTGAAACGATTACTTTTCGTACGTCCGAATTATTACGAGTAAAAATCCACCCTTATTTCTGATTATTCCTATAGAATCGCGAGATCCCATCAAGACATGGAATATTCCAAGAATATTCCTTTCTAGGAATCACTTCTTCAAACGAACATAGGAACAGACCAGCAGAATGTCTAACTGTTTACGTTCACTTATCCCGAGCATGAATTTCCCGTGTATAAGAGCTCTTTTATACGACGAATATTGAAAATCGGTATCACCATATATTTTTTCTCTCTCGTTAAATCACGTACGTAATTCAAACTGTACAAATTCCAAATTGCAAACCATGCCCCTGAGTCATTAAACAAAAAAAATTGATTAAATCTCACTTTCAAATTTTATATTTACTCAATTTTACTTTCCTCGTATATAAAAAGAGACCATCACGATAAAAATACACGAGTCATTCATAACCCACGGTCATTAACTCTATTTTTTACATCTGACAATCACCTGATTGATGTTCACCATTTTATGTTTAAAATAAATTTCTATTTTTTTTTTATAATTAATCACTTCAGCAAATGAAAAGCACATACACATATATAAACGCAATTGACCAATATAAAGAATATAAAAAATCAGTATCGCGATACTACATCGAATTCTCACGAGAATTGTCGTCTGAACGACCGAATTAAATTATGGTTGCTATTCATCATGCGTGTATCTCGATATCGTCGCATGAAAGAGCTTTAACGATTCCCGTCTCGTTCGACTTTTCTCCTCATTTTCCAACGCGATCCTCGAATCTTATCCCTTGGAAATCCGATGCAAATCGAATACTCGACTCCATCTCCTTTAATCGGCCGAACTTCACACGCGCGTAAGTCGAAAAGTAATTCGATTTTCCTTCTTCATCCACTCCTAACTGCACTCCAAACCGAAACGTTTGAGGGCAATTAATGGAAACGAAAATTCGAACGCGCCACGCTGTCGGGCCCGCCTTTCTGTTATCGAGTTTATCGGCCAGGCCATTTCGATCCAGTCTCCCGGGAAAAAGAGACAAAGAGCAAAGAGAAAAGGGGGAAAAAGAAGGAATCGGTAGCTAGATTTGCTCTTCCATATTCATCAGTTCTATCCGATTATCCCGAGCTTATTCGAGCTTGTTTGCCTTTGCACGATTCTAAAGAGGCTTACTTCCGAACTCGAGGAAATGTATTTCAAGGAGTGTCGAACGATTCTCAGCTATTTCGTCGGGTATCCCATTGAAATCGGTTCTTTGCGCAAATAATATTTGCCATCGACGATTATTGGCCGGGATTGTTCAATATTTGCTTCATTTGATCGGCGATGTGCAGCGAGCTCGTCTCCGAGGCGACCGACTCCTGATTGGTCATGGAAGGGGTGGAATTTTAAGTGGATGAAAGGTTCATTTGGTTCGATAAATAAATTTCGAATAATCGTTAGTCTCTTCACTGCCAGTGAAAACCACTCGTGCATTTTTTTCCCCTCTTTTTTTTATAAATATGCTAATTCGGGAATATAGTTTTACGCAGCAGGGGTTACTGAATAATGGATGCTTTGGTTTACCTTTGCTTAAAAAATAAAAAACAAAAATTGGAATTTCCGACGATGGGATTGGATATAATTTTATTTGACAGGGCAAAGGATAGCGACTTTTCGAGAAAAAATCGTAGATTGGACTTTCGGATAATTATTAACTTCCGTCTTGTGTTTAATCATCGTTTTTAATTATTCTCCCTAATGTCATAAGTTACTCTATATAACTTGACGCAATTTGGACGAAGGTTTATAACGAGGTGCTAATAGAATAGAACAGTGGTTGATGAAATGACAGGAGAAAGGAAGAAAACTTCGAACTCTTGAACAATTAGCTTCTACTTAATTAGAAATTCTCGTTTTCGATAAGATAAAATTACCTGTATCAAAGAAAGGATTCTCTTTTGTTATTTACAACGCTCAACGAGCAAACCGTAAGACCAAGTTCATCCTACGATGATCAGTCATTTCCCGACACTTCGGGAGATCACGTCGAGTTATCTTTCTCGATTATCAAGCAAGTAGAAGTCGAACTTAATTCACGCCCCGCCCAATTTAAATTTGGACTACTTTCCGCTTTCAACGAGAAAAATCCCGTAATCCCCGGAATTAGCGTTTCCGAGCAGCGAAAGTAGCCTGGGAAAATATAATATCCCTGGTCCGACGAAGATGTGGTAAATCAGACCGACAGTGCGGTAAATCAACGACGCGGCGACATTCCATTCTCTCTCAAGTCTCAAGTGTCGATGGGTGAAATCTAGTTAGAGGTGGCCGCGCCCTGTGTGGCGAACACTCCACGTACCGTCTAACCGGCGAGCAAACGGACAACGGACACGAACAAGTATCACATAGAACGAGGCAAAGAGAATGGACGTGAAAAAAAAGAGAAACTGAAAGGAACGAAAAGTAAAAGAATGAAGAGCGTGTACAGTCGTAGAGACATATCACTCACTCGGCGTTGGTCTCCGGCGTGGGTAGGTCGCCGATCGTGGTGAGGGTGAGGGTGGACCAGTAGAGCGAGCCAAGGTACTTCCTGGTCAGGGTGGCGTACTCCCCAGGCCTGTACGGGTAGACCCAGTCCCCTTGGAATCCTTCCGCCTCGCTGAGCAAGTAGTAAAAGCAGCCGAACCAGTGGGCCAGGATCAGCAATATATGTATGAGATTCAGCACGCGCCACAGGTTCGGGTAAACCGTCCGCGACTCGACCATGTAGTAGTAATTGTACACGCGGTAGATCTTCAGGAACCTCGGGAACCTGAGCATCGGATTGCTACCCAGGTTCACCTGAAGCAGATCGAGCGGAAGCAGCGCGAGCAAGTCCAACACGAACGACTTGGACTTGAGGTAATGACCGGCCAGTTTCTTGCTGTTGTACACCATTAATCCCTGCTCCAGGTAGCCAGTACGGAACTGCACTGCCACGTCCAGGAAGAACACGAGATCCGTGAAACCGTCGCAGGCCAGCCACGCGACTGGTGCCACGGCCTGCAGTTCCGGCAGACTCTGCCGCACGATCAGCGTCCACAGGTTGTAGAGCACGCAAGCGGACAGCAGCATCAGCCAATAGTAATAGAAGTTCTCGTCCGGGTTCACCACGGTCTTGGGTGGTTTCTGTGGCCTACGTGGCCGTCGTCGGCGTCGTCCGCTCGAATCCTTGTCGTCCGCGTTGTCTCCCTCGCCCTCGCCGGTGTCTAACGTTTCCTGGCTCTCCGGTATCTGCCTGGTGGAGAATCGCTTGAGGAACGAGTCCTCTCGTTTTAATGGCGGTTTCTTTTGAATCGTTGAGATCGCTGACGAGAGTTGGACCGTGGTGCGCAGCTTCATCCAACGCTGGTTGCTCTTCGTCCTGCGAACAGACAGAGGAATAGATCGCCAGTGAGGGACGAAACGGGGGCTGCGAGGGCCAGGTCGAGGACCCAGGTCGCAGAGATTCGGGTCGAAGTTAGCTTCTCACTTGGGGAAACGGTGATTAGAAGTTGTGTGCTTACCTAGAGACGTCGTTCGACGTTTATCAGGAGGAGCTTGCAACTTTTCGACGCAGACAACGGATCATTACCCGTGTTTCTATTCACGAGGGAAATTAAGCAATTCCGACTGATTCTTTCTCGTGGTCAATAAAATCAACGAATATTCCGTGTTAACTTTAACGCTTAGTGACAATTACCGACAAATAGGAATAACGATAAATAATCCAAGGAATTCCGACTGGTTCTTTCTCGCGTGTCTCATAGTCAATAAATATTCCGTGTTTTTGACTTTAATACTTATCGATGAATAGGGATAACGATAAATAATCCACGAGTATTAACTCTTTGCGAACGGAGAGGGTTTGAGTAAACCGTACCGTGGGGCCCAACCGCTGCTGCGATAGTCATTCAAAACTATCCACGCTCATTTTTATTTAAACACGATTTTCATTCATATCGATACTGGCAATAAGGACATAAAAGGGTCCACCACTTGGACCGTGCCATCCTAGGGCCGCAACATCATTTATGAGTCCCTGGGCCCTATCAGTTGTTTTCACCGTCCGCAAAGGGTTAAAATCGGAAACGAACATCTCGAGTCCTACCGATAACGTATTTCCACAATACCATTTTCTAAATCATCGTATTCGAGTATATCACGATCGATCGAGAAAATGGTACTTTTTCACAGCCCCGGAGACCGTTCGAGTTACTCTGTAAATGGAAATGCTGCTCTAACGTTACACAAAATGGAGGCTGTGCGTAAAACGTTGCCTTTCATCGATGAGACCTCGACTTTCCTCGGACCACGAACTTTATACCATTGTTCTCGGGAATTAATTAAAATCAGTTGTTCGCGTTTCACGCGAAAGTTTCGTGACGCGTAAAGGGTAAACGGTAACAGTCAAAACAATTTCGTCCATAAAATTCCACGTATTAGCGTGAAATATCGCGATGGTTGATAAAAAGCGATTAAACCGACGGCTAAAATGGAACGATTCAACGCGTACCGAATGAAACAGTTACCTGCGATTCAGCTTCGTGACCAGGGCTGTTAATTACCATTTTAATCGCATGGAAAGAATAACGCGGCCCGGCGCTATTTATCGCTCGCTTGGCTGTTGGACACGTTTCCAGCGAGCGAATTTTCTTCCTCGAGTGCGGTAAATTTCAGATACGCACGAACAACCCGGCGGGTTCGAACAAAGACGCCGGGGACTGTCGGTTCCGTGCCATTTTCGGGCTCCAACACCGCGTAAGTAACGTCGAACGATTCCCGTGGACTTGTACGATCGCTTGTTACTCGTAGTACCGGTAAATACGCGACTTGACCGAATTTCCAACTATTGCGGCACACGTCGCGACTGTGCAAGCAATTGCTTCTGTTGCATTACGACGCTGGCATAAAGTTCGCGGATCTATGCTACGGGGTCACGGAGTTCGAGATACTCGAGGTGACGTTTTAAACCTGATTTCTATCTTCGTTCCTTATTTATTTTTGATCCCTTTCGATAAGATACTTTCCCCTTTTTATAAATACCGCCTGATAGGATAATAGAGTTGCTGGACAAATTCTTTTCGCACGCGAATAGCGTATTTTGGATTAAAAATGGGGAACTATTGAAATTTTGTGTATACAGTGGGATGCTTAAAAATTTCGTGATTCGAAGAAAAGAACAGGGTATTTGTACATTCGTTACAAAGTCGAGAATATGTATGTAAATATTTGAGAAACATAGTCCCAAATTTCCAAAATAATTAATACCCCCTAATTTTGGGGTGTCAAGAAGAATGGTAATATATGAACAAATTGAGCAATTCGATTTGAGAAAACAATTGTAAAACAAGTGAACGTTGTGAGATTTCGTTTGATCTAGATTCAATTACGCCCGTTAATTATTCTAAATTTTTTCGTGAATAATTAAGAAGAGAAAGAATTTTAAATCAAGTTTAGGTGAAGTAATCTTCGCATCGTTGTATAGCTTTCTTCAAACCGGACAATTTTCATTCATATTTGTCTCTTGGAAATTCCAACGTGGTAAAGAGCCATAGGAATACACTTTTTAAGCGTCCCACCTAATATACAGGCGAAAACACAGCCAGGCCAATGTCGTGGCGCTGTTCCTAAGGGGTTGTAAGCTCCGGGGAGGATTTATGGGTGCCTTTGCACGGCGGGGTGTTTCGAAGCTCGTCCCCGGCGAGCCTAGACAAACTGCTTTTAATTAAAATCACCAGCTCCTCCGAAATAATATCCCTTCCCATTTTCTTCGCCTCGCAGGCACGCGGAATCGAGCAGCCGAATCATAGTTAACTCGATCGGCCGAAAAAGGGAAATAGAAAAAATTCACGCAAATTGAAACGAAAAGGAAGTGGCGACTCGCGTTGGAATCTAAATAAAGGATCAGCCAACGAGGTTCCAGCGAAAAAGCGAAAAACCGAAAAAAAGAAAGGGAGAACTGTTATTGCACTTCCGGTAAAACGCATTCCACGCGTTCCGCGTGGCTGAAACGCGATTCCTCGTGCAAATAATCCCGTAAACCGATGAAAACCAACAAAAGAACGATATATGCCGCGTGTGTCGAATCGTTTGGCTCGATTTCAAAGCTCCATAGAACCTCTGTTGCAAAACCCATGCATGATTCGTGATTTCAAGACCTCTTGCTATAAGGAGCATATCCCTCTGAAACATCTCGTTCCACACACACTTTCTTTTTTCTTTTTTTTGCTATATATATATATTCAATACGTATCTATGATTTCTGCAAGCAGACAGATTAATCCTACTTGCGTTCCATTCGGCATACCCATTGAAACGAAGGTAACACATCGTTGCGAGTGAACGAGACACCACGTGGATTATCTCTATTTACTTCGTTCTTTCATTCCGTTCTTGCTTGCTCTTTTCAAGGATTCGTATATCTAACGCTATGAAAGTAGATGACAGATGACAGTCGTGTGTTTATTGCTTGAAATAAGAAGTGAGCGAGAATCGAGTAAGATCAAGTTTAAGTAATCAGAGCATCAGATGGATGAGAGGCAGACAGACAGACAGACAGATATAGACAAACAGACAGAGACAGAAACATCGAGAGAGTTGTCAAGTCATATAGACAGAGGCAGAACGAAACTAAAGGTATAAACTTTGTTATGCCACTACGCATTCTTTAATCGTTAACACACCCATGTTCAAGTGTATCGTGGTATCTGTTCAGTGTGTCATGTACGCCCTTCCTGTGTACGTGTACGTGTGTCCGTTCTCTAAACGTTCCTTGTGCTCGGTGATCGGGATACACTCTGGGATCGGTCTCTCTTCTCTAATTCAGACGGGCTGGTAGAAGGGAGGCAAATCGGGGTGAGAACAGTGTCAAGCATCAGCATTCGTCGAAAGATCAGCGTCTCTATGCTCGCGACGCAGATAAGAACACTAGTCTAACAGAATATCTAGCGGTTTCTTTCTTTCTCCTTCATCCTTCCAATATTTTCGCTGCGACGTGTCGCGTGCCGATTTCAGTGAAAATCTTCTCAGACATCGATCCGATGGATCAGACAGGAGACGCAATTCCGGCTAATTTCTCACGACGTGTTCTCGTTCTCGGAACAGGTATAAGAGCGGTCGCTTATTTTCCAGCCGATGATTCCACGTTTTAGTTTGGCAAAGAGAACGCGAAAAAGCTTCGTGACATTGCAAAATGCTGACCGCCTCTATCGAGCGATTATTTCATCCGCAGAGAAGAGACGTTATTAAATCCCCGTCGTTACGTATTCCACGCGTGACTAAATGCGAAATAATTGCAAAATGGTTGATCAAAAATCATTCGCGAACGCCGGGATGCGAAGCTAAATATTTTTCGGTGAAAAAGCGTTAGGGGTACCGTGGGGGACGTAGTTTTAAAATGGCACTGAAATCGGTGCACGATACCTCGCGATCCTCCTCTCGTCAGAGACGCATGATAGAAAGAGATTGATAAAGATTCCTTGCAACTACGTATCGATACAAAGTTTCTACGTATCTTGCATTCTAGCTTCTCATGCAAAAGGTACTGTGCATCGAGGACGTTTTTAATACATTATCGACCACAGATCGATCACAGTTGGCATCCACGTTTAACAAACGTATCATTAGACCCGAGAACGAGCAGTACCAACCCGGGTTTGCCAATTCTGCCACATTTGCCCCTGATTCCCTCGGACTTGCTGCCTTGTGAACGTGCACGAGGTCCGTTCGCGATTCGTGGGTCGATAATGCGTTAAAAGTTCAGCACTGGAACACGGTTTCCGATATTGCACGGAAACCGTGGCAAAAAGAACAATCTCCTGGCCGAACGCACGATTGGCCACGTTACCGATCCAAAGCTTCTGCTATTTGTGCCTTTCCCCGTTAATTGTTCCACACTGTTCGCCAGGGAACGTTTCACGATTCGGCTAACAAACTGACTCCTAGTCGAGTAAAGGAAAGAACGTTAGGTTCTTCATTAACGCATGCCAAATGCCAAAGAATGCTGCAGACCAATTCCAATGCGTGCATTTTTAATTTATTTTATTTTATTTTTTTTATTATTTCCTTGGTATTGCTGATATATATTCCTCTTCCTATCTTTTCGTTCATTTTTCTTTCATTTTTGCTTCCCTGCTACTGGAATTCTCACGATTTAGGTTGTAATGCTTAAAATTCGTCCCCGATTCCGGATTTCGCGTGTGTAATTATTCTGACATAGTTCGGTGGGTAGTTGGAGGTTCATCGTTTTGGAACGTTAGCAATTTTTCCTCGGTTTATTTGTACAACTTAAACGCCATGCATTGGGTGAAGTTACGAAGTGGTGCTTGGAATATTATAATATCGACGCAAATTTAATTCGTGAATTCGAGGTGAGGTTTTAAT